ACTCCTGGCTACACCACTTCCAATCCAACTCCTTGCTAATATGCCTGGGAAAGCAGTAGAGGATGGCCCAAATCCCTGTGCTCCTGGCACCCATGTGGGAGACCTGGAAGAAGCTCCTAGCTCCTGGCTTCACATCAGCTCAGCTCTGGCCACTGCAGCCATTGGGAAGTGAACCAGCAGACTGAAGAGCTCACTTTCTCTCTCACTACCTCTCTCTGTAACTGTCATTCAAAAAAATAAAAAGTAAAAAAGTAAAGTGGCGGTCAGCACTGTGGTGTAGTAGATAGAGCCACAGCCTACAGTGCCGACATCCTCTATGGGCACTGGTTCAAGTCCTGGCTGCTCCACTTCCAATCCAGCTCTCTGCTATGGCCTGAGAAAGCAGTGGAAGACGGCCCAAGTCCTTGGGCCCCTGCACCCACGTGGGAGAACCAGAAGAAGCTCCTGGCTTCTGTCTTTGGATCAGTGCAGTTCCAGCAGTTGCGGCTAATTGGGGAGTGAACCAGCAGATGGAAGACCTCTCTCTCTCTCTCTCTCTCTGCTTCTCCTTCTCTCTGCGTGTAACTCTGACTTTCAAATAAATAAATGAATCTTAAAAAAAAAAAAAAAAAAAAAGAACAGCATGATAATTTAAAAAAGTAAAGTGATGGGCCGGCGCTGTGGCTCACTTGGTTAATCCTCCACCTGCAGCGCCGGCATCCCATATGGGCGCCGGTTCTGGTCCCAGTTGCTCCTCTTCCAGTCCAGCTCTCTGCTGTGCCCCGGGAAGGCAGTGGAGGATAGTCCAGGTGCTTAGGCCCTGCACCCGCATGGGAGACTGGGAGGAGGAACCTGGCTCCTGGCTTTGGACTGGCACAGCATGCCGGCTGTGGCGGCCATTTGGGGGGTAAACCAACGGAAGGAAAACCTTCCTCTCTGTCTCTCTCTCTCTCTGTCTAACTCTGCTTGTCAAAGAAAAAAAAAAGTAAAGTGATGATATATACAACGATTTATTACAAAAGAGTCATATAAGGGGCTGGTGCTGTGGCACAGCAGGTTAAACCACTTCTGTGTGCTAGCATCCCACATGGGCAACAGTTCGAATCCCAGCTGCTCCACTTCCAATTCAGCTCCTTGCTAATGGCCTGGGAAAACAGTGGAGGATGACCCAAGTCCTGGAGCCCCTGCACCCACATGGAGCCCCAATGAGGCTCCTGGCTCCTGCCTTCAGCCTGGCCAGCCCTAGCCATTGTGGCCATTTGAGGAGAGAACCAGTGGATGGAAGATCTTTCCTTCTCCCTCTTTCTGTAACTCTTTCAAATAATAAATAAATAAGTAAATCTTAAAAAGAGTCATATCAAAGTTTTCTTTATTCACATCCACATTTTTATTATACTTCTGAATACCTGTGTAAATTAGTAAATGGCTAAACCATGTTCCAAGCCAATCTTAAATATTAATTTGAAAAGTTGTTTAAATTCTGATGAAACTTAGTTCTGATGAATAAAAGGAACACTGTTATATTATATATATGCATACCCACACACACTCTGAATAAGTTTGTTTGTTTTTTTTTTTTTTTTTTTTTTTTTTTTTTTTTTTTTGACAGGCAGAGTGGACAGTGAGAGAGAAAGAGAGAGAGAGAGAAAGGTCTTCCTTTTTTTGCTGTTGGTTCACCCTCCAATGGCCGCCACGGCCGGCACACCGCGCTGATCCGAAGCCAGGAGCCAGGTACTTATCCTGGTCTCCCAAGGGGTGCAGGGCCCAAGCACCTGGGCCATCCTCCACTGCACTCCCTGACCACAGCAGAGAGCTGGCCTGGAAGAGGGGCAACCGGGACAGAATCCGGCGCCCCGACCAGGACTAGAACCCGGTGTGCCGGCGCCGCAAGGCGGAGGATTAGCCTAGTGAGCCGTGGCGCCAGCCTGAATAAGTTTAATAGTACTATGTTCCACCACCTAACCATATTCCAAAACCTTGTGTCAATGTTACTAAATTTTAACAGGCTTTTATAAGCCCATTTTACTATTATTAATCCCATGGTGAAAGAAATGCTTGTAAAACATAGAATTATTTTATAAGGCCGGCGCCGCGGCTCAATAGGCTAATCCTCCACCTTGTGGCGCCACCACACCGGGTTCTAGTCCCGGTTGGGGTGCTGGATTCTGTCCCGGTTGCCCCTCTTCCAGGCCAGCTCTCTGCTGTGGCCAGGGAGTGCAGTGGAGGATGGCCCAGGTGCTTGGGCCCTGCACCCCATGGGAGACCAGGAGAAGCACCTGGCTCCAGCCTTCAGATCAGTGCGGTGCGCCGGCCACGGTACGCCGGCCAAGGCGGCCATTGGAGGGTGAACCAACGGCAAAGGAAGACCTTTCTCTCTGTCTCTCTCTCTCACTGTCCACTCTGCCTGTCAAAAAAAAAAAGAGAATTATTTTATAAAGAAAATACAAAACTGATATAAAACTAAACTGGGTTGAAATTTTAGTCAATATCGAGATCTAATGGGTTAGGTGTTTTGTGAACAGTTAGCATACTCACATCCCAAATCAGAGTATCCGAGTTTGAGTCCCCATTCTGCTTCTAATCCAGCTTCCTGCTAACACTTACAAGTTCCTGAGTCCCTGCTGCCTACATGAAGGACCAAGATGGAGTTCTGGGCTACTGGTTTTGGCTTGCCCAGCCCTGGCTATTATGAGCATTTGGGGAGTGAACCAACAGGTAGAAGACTTCTCTCTCTCTCTCTCTCTGTCATTCTTTCAAGTAAATAAAAACAACTAAAGCTTTTAAAAATCTCTAATAATATTTCGCTTCATGGCACTGGCTTGCCTTTTTCGATATTTAAGTCTCAAATATATTCTGAATAGAACTGATATGACTAGTTAAGCCATACAAGTCAAATTTTCCTAGGAAAGATTAATTCCCATAAAAACACCAAAATGTTTTAAAAAATTAAACAGATATTACACAATCATGTATCGAATCCCAATTCTCTATACAAGACAATGCCAATACACCCTAGTTGTTTTTCTTTTAGAAAGCTTTTATTCAATAAATGTAAATTTCAAAAGTACAATTTTTGGATTATAGCAGTTCTTCTCTCCATACCCACCCTGCCACTCACAAACGATCCTACCTCCTACTCCCTCTCCCATCCCATTCTTCATTAAGATTCATTTTTAATTATCTTTATATATAGAAAATCAACTCCATACTAAGTAAAGATTTCAACAGTTTGTACCAACACAGATACACAAAGTATAAAGTACTGTTTGAAGACTAGTTTTACTGTTAATTCTAATAGTACAACACATTAAGGACAGAGGTCCTACATATGGAGCAAGTGCACAGTGACTCCTGTAGTTGATTTAAAAATTGACACTCTTATTTATGACGACAGTGATCACCCAAGGCTCTTGTTATGAGCAGCCAAGGCTATGGAAACCTGGCTTCTGTTTTAAAACATGCTTCCCCTAGGGTTTTTTTTTTTTTCTTATTTAATTTATTTGAAAGGCAAAAAGACAGATAAGACAGAGATCCCCCATTCACCAAATGCCCCTAACAGCCAAGGACAGCCAGGCCAAAGCCAGGAGCCAAGAGCCAGGAATTCAATCTGAGTGTCCCACGGGGGTGGCAGGGTCCCAACTAGAGTCATGACTCTTCTCCTCTCCAGGCTACACATTAGTAAGGAGCTGGGACTAGCAGCAAAGCCAGGACTCAACCACAGCACTCTGTTATGGGATGAGGTCGTCCCAACACAGTCTTAACTGCTATAAACACTCACCTGGAAGTTTTATTTTTTAATTAGCCTACGGCACTTACTTTATTTTCTAATTTTTTCTCATGTATAACAGTAAATCAAGATCCTTTATTTAAAAGAAAATGTCACCTGGCATTTCCATTTTTTAAATAAATATAAAAATTAAGAAAATACAAGTATTCTCTTTAAAAACATGATTTTAATATTCCGACAAAATCAGTATGTGTACTAAAATCAGAACTAAAACACAATACTCAGTTTCATCAAGCTCTTTGCCAATTCATACGTTAAAAAGAAATGTAAAATTTTTAAAAATTAAGATGCTTTAACAGATAATCCATTTTGATATTGTTATTTCTTAGTGTCCTACTTCAATGATTTTTTTTGAAACTCTGGATGGTTTAATATTCTCATGAAATTAGTGTTTAAATAAACTTGACTTTCACCCCCATTATTTTGTTCTTATTTATAATTATTTTTTCAATTTTTAGGTTAAATTCAAAGGTTTATACTCACAAAACGAGACTAACTTATCTCTAATACATAAATAACTCATTTTCCTATCTTCAGTATAGATAAAGCCACAACTCACAAGTGGAAATATTAATTTAACAAAATGGGAGCTGGCCCTGTAACGCAGTAGGCTAAGCCTCCACCTATGGCACCAGCATCCCATTTGGGCACCAGTTCCCTACTCCTCTTCTGATCCTGCTCTTTGCTTAAGGCCCGGGAAAGCAGTAGAGGATGACCCAAGTGCTTTGGCCCCTGCACTCACATGGGAGACCTGGAAGAAGCTCCTAGCTCCTAGCTTTGGATTGGCTCAGTTCCAGCCATTGTGGCCATTTGGGCAATGACCAGAGGATAGAAGACCTATCCGTCTGTCTCTTCCTCACACTGTCTGTAGTTCTACCTCTCAAATAAACAAACAAAATCATTTTTAAAAATTAACAAAATGAAGTTTCCTCTTTTGGCTTTTGATGTTTGAAGTTTATCAAGGCTTTATACAGTAGATCACTAAATTTTGGAATTAACTGAGAATGATCCAAGATTTCAGTTAGTAAACATAATTTTAGACATAAAGACAAAAGCAAAAGTAATGAGTTAACTGTAGAACAACACCTCTAGTCACAAATGAGCAGGTCTTATTTAGTTTTATAGAAGGTATTTAACTGCATAAAACTTGAAGAGAAAAATGGCCGTATCTGAAAACGGCTATAAGGATCAGCACAGAACACAGGATTGTAATGAACAGAGTCACAAAACATACTAAAGAGGTATGAATGGTCAGTCCCACCGGAACCTGCAGAGTCACATTCTTATATACCTATGGAGAGAAACAGGGATGAGAAGTTAGAGACATTCCAAATGTACAATCTATGGTAAAACCATTTCTTAGATTCTTTAATTTCATTTTTCCCTTTCTTATTTCCTTTAAATATCTTTCAGCTAATTCTACAATACACATAATATTGTTCAAATGATCATTTCAGATCCAACAATTTATTTAAGTCACAAAATCAAACTTAATTCCTGTAATTATTTATAAATTCTCATCAGTTCTGACTTTTTCTGCTTTTTGGTAGAGTTGACTATCTTTTAAGAAGTTATAGCTCGGAGACAGTGCTGTGGCATAGCAGATAAAGCCGTCACCTGCAGTGCCAGCATCCCTTATGGGTGCCGGTTCAGGTCTCAGCTGCTCCATTTCCAATCCAGCTCTCTGCTATGGTCTGGAAAGCATAAGATGGCTCAAGTCCTTGAACCCTGCACTCAATGTGAGATCTGGAAGAAGCTCCTGGCTCCTTGCTCCTGGCTTCAGATCAGCCCAGCTCTGGTTGTTGTGGCCACGTGGGGAGAGAACCAGCAGATGGAATACCTCTCTCTCTCTCTCTCTCTCTTTCCCTCTGCCTCTCTGTAACTCTGCCTTTCAAATAAATAAATCCTTAAAAAAAGAAAGTTATAGCTCAATATCACTTCTATAGCCAGGAAATAAAAATATTTCCTCCATGTTTCACATTAGAATGCAGAAAATAATAAAACTATACATTCATTCCTATTTCGTGGTTTCTCTCCCTAAACAGTTTTCTAAAGCTTGCTATTCATAAATTGCACAACTGAATCTGTCCTTTACCACAGCTAGCAATGTGAAAGTTCTCCTATATTCAACCTAGTTCCTAGCTTCTTTTCTCTTTCATTTTTTTAAAGAATTATTTTATTTATTTGAAAGATAGAGTGACAGAGAGTTAGAGCCAGAGAGAGAGGTCTTCCATTCCACTGGTTCACTCCCCAAATGACTGCAATGGCCAGAGCTGAGCTGATCCGAAGCCAGGAGCTTCCTCCAGGTCTCCCATGTGGGTGCAGGGGCCCAAGGACTTGGGCCATCTTTTACTGCTTTCCCAGGCCATAGCAGAGAGCTGGATGGGAAGAGGAGCAGCCGGATGGGAACCAGCCCCTACATGCGATGCTGGCGCTGCAGGCTGAAGCTTTAACCCACTGCACCACAGCGCCAGCCCCTCTCTTTTGTTTTTTCACATTTACTTATTTATCTGAATATCAGAGTTACAGAAAGAGAGAGGGAGAAAGAGCTTCATCCACTGGTTAACCCCCCGCAACAGCCAGAGCTAAGCCAGGCCAAAGTCAGGAGCTTCTTCCAAGGTCTCCCACATAGGCAGCAGGGTCCAAGCACTTGGGCCATCTTCTGCTGCTTTTCCTAGGCACATTAGCGGGCAGATGGATCGGAAATGGAGCAGCTGACACACAAACCAACACCATATGGGATGCTGGCACTGCAGGCAGTGGCTTTACGCGCTATGCCACAATGCTGGCCCCTAGCTTCTATTTTCTATTTTAACTCTGAAGACAAAGGAGTTCAATTAGAAATCTACAGAAAATTTTATGGTTTCAAAATAAATTTTAAAAAATTAAAATTTAGGTAACCTAAAAATACAAATATTTTTTTCATTTATTTTCATAAATACCTGGATTATAATTTTATGCCCAAAAAGCACAGTTCCAACACAATCTTTTACAAAGCTTTATCTGAAAATGATGCTTCAAAAAGTGGCACCTTTTTTTTTTTTTTAGATTTTTACTTTATTTATATGAAAGGCAGAGTTACAGGGAGAGGGAGAGACAGAGAGAGAGGTCTTGCATTCTGTTTCACTCCCTAAATGGCTGCAACAGTCAGGGCTGGGCAGGCTGAAGCCAGGAGCCAGAAGCTTCTTCCGGGTCTCCCACATGGATGCAGGGGCCCAAGCACTTGGGCCACTTTCTGCTGCCTTCCCAGGTGCATTAGCAAACAGCTAGATCAGAAGTGAAGCAGCTGGGTCTTGACCCTGCATCCATAATAGGATTACGGCCACAACACTGTCCACCAAAAGTAGCGTCTTAAACAAACCTTGGAATAGAAAACCACCTTAGTAATGGTCATCTATTCTTTATTTTTCAGGCATATATAGGGTATTTCAGTAAGTTTATGGGAGTGGGCATTATGGCACAGTGGGTTAACCTGCCATTTAGGACACTGTATCCCATACAGGAGTGCCTGGTTTGAGCCTTGGCTACTCTGCACTTCCTATACAGCTTCCTGCTAATGTGCCTGGGAGGCAGCAGATCATGGCCCAAATAATAAGGTTCCTAACACCTACATGACAGACCCATATGGAGTTCCTAGCTCTTGGCTTTGGCCTGACCCAGCTCTGGCTGTTGAAGGCTTTTGGGTAGTGAACCAGTGGATGGAAAATCTCTTTCTCTCCCTCTATCACTCTGCCTTTCAAATAAATAATAATTTTTTTAAAAGTTAATGAAAAATGGGATTAAAGATGTTTATTTTAGCATAAATACATGCACATGAGCAAAAAGGTTCATGAAAAATGAATTTTATGAACAAAATGAATGGACTTATACAGTATCATAAAAACCAGGTACCATATAGCGTTGACAATCTCAAAAGCAATTCTGTGCTGTGCAAGATATTAACACAATCATCTATCTTATCAACTGCAGTTTAAAAAAGTTCTACAATACAAAAGAACATTGCTTTAAAATAAAGCCTTCCCTGTAAATAGTTGTTTTCTGAGCTGGCCGGTAGACAAACTCTTAAGTTACCACCAAGAAATTACTTCAAACTTAAATATCCACAGTGGTACATATGAATAAACCCACCTTATGTTTATCTGACTGACAGTCATAGTATCTGCTGGTTTAAATTTTAAATTTATTTTTGTTGCAAACTCATTTGATTCTTTGTAAAAATAAACTGGAAGCGTTGGTGCTGTGGTGCAGTGGGTTAAAGATCCGGCCTGCAGTGTTGGTTTGAGTCTTGGCTGCTCCACTTCCGATTCCGCTCCCTGCTAATGCTCCTGGGAAAGCAGCGGAGTTTGGACCAAGTACATGGACCCCCTACACCCATGTGGGAGACCCAGAAGAAACTCTTGGCTCCTGCCTTCAGATCAGCTCAACTCTGGCCATTGTGGCCATTTGGGGAGTGAACCAGTGGATAGAAGACCCTCTCTCTCTCTCTATCTCTACCTCTTTCTGTAACTGTCTTTCAAATAAATAAAATAAATCTTCAAAAAAAATAAACTGTAAAGATGGTGACACAGATTGTATCCTTCAACCAAAGTACTCTTTCAAGAAAATTAGGAAGGGCCGCGCCGTGCGTCAGTAGGTAATCTCCGTCTAGCGAGTCTAAGTCCCGGTCGGGGTGCCCGATTTTGTCCCGGTTTCCCTTTTCCAGGCCAGCTTTCTGCTGTGGCCAGGGAGTGCAGTGGAGGATGGCCCAAGTCCTTTGGCCCCTGCACCCCATGGGAGACCAGGAGAAGCACCTGGCTCCTGCCATCGGATCAGCGCGGTGCGCCGGCCACGGTACGCCGGCCAAGGCGGCCATTGGAGGGTGAACCAACGGCAAAGGAAGACCTTTCTCTCTCTCTCTCTCACTGTCCACTCTGCTTGTCAAAAAAAAAAAAAAAAAAAAAAAATTAGGAAGAAGAGAAACACGAACAGTAATATTACAACCACCAGTTAGAAGACACATGAAGGAGGAACAAAAGGATAAAAAGAAAGAACATTATAAAGACTTAGCAGTTCACAGAGGGGAAAGTAGATGACTGTGTTAACTAAAAGCTATGAATGTTCAAACAGCAGACTCCTAAGAAAAAGCCACTGCTAATGAGATTTTAATCCTATATCCAATTTAATAACTGAAAACAAATTTAATAACTGTAAACAAATAGTTATAAAACTATAAAACTAGCCTGAGTTGGATTACGTTTAGGAATAAAATAACAAAAATACAACTGTCTGGAAATTTTACCATAGTTAAAAATACTATGGTTTTTGTTTTCCTTTTTTTAGCTTCCTCTGAAGTTAATTTACTTTGTTGTTTAATGAGATGTAAATAAAAGTAAAATTAAAATATTTTAAAGTTTTATTTTAAATGTTTATTTATTGGAAAGGTAGAACAACTGAAAAATGGAGAGCCAGAGAGAGAGATCTTTATGGTCCTACTCATTCCCCAGAATGCCCCCAACAGCCAGAACTGGCCCAGGCTGAAGACAGGAACCTTGAACTCCATCCAGGTCTCCTATGTGAGTGGCAGGGACCCAAGTACTTGAGCCACCAGCTACTGCCTCCCAGGATGCACATTAGCAAGAAGTTAGATCAGAAGGGGAGATGGGACTTGAACTCAGGATGACTTAACCCACTGCACTACAATGCCTGTTCCCAAATAAGGTTTTATTGATAAAGAAAAAACATACACATGCTACTGTTTTCTTTACTATCATACACCTTTAAAAAGCATACTGGCTGCACTTAACTCCTAGACCAACCAATGAGTCATGGGACTAACACTACATCTCCAACCTCCTAAATCAAAAGGTTCATATGAAACCTTACCCACATGAGAAAACACTGTTATAACCAGTATCAAAGAAACAACATTAAAAACAAACAAAAGGGGCCAGCATTGTGGTGCAGCAAGTAAAGCTGCTGCCTGCCATAGCAGTGGGCACCCTTACGGGCATCGATTCAAGCTCCGGTTGCTCCACTTCCAGTACAGCTCCTTACTCATGCGTCTGGGGAAAGGAGCAAAAGATGATTCAAGTGCTTGGGCCATTGCCACCCAGGTGGGAGACCTACAAGAAGCTCCTGGGTCCTGCCTTCACTGCAGCCATTTGGGGAGTGAACCAGCAGATGGAAGATCTGTCTCTCTGTAACTGTGACTTTCAAGTAAAAAATTAGTAAATTTTAAAAACAAGCAAACAACATGTTATCTATATTAGAATATAAGATACTAATTCCTTAAATGTGGCAGAAACACATAGAAAGACT